ATATTCTTCTCTTGTTTGTTTTTTGTTTTGTTTTTTTTAACAAACCTTTAAAAAATGTAAACACCGTTCTTAGGTTGTACAAAAACAGGCCATGGGCTGGATTTGACCCACTGGCCCCAGTTTTGCCAACCCCCACTCTAAACCACTACAGTATACTCCCTCTGAAGAGCAGCCAACTAATTCAAGTTTGAAAGACAGCACTGGCCGGTTAGCTCAGTTGCTTAGAGCGTAGTGCTGATAACACCAAGATCCAGGGTTCCATCCCCGGACTGGCTAGCTGCCAAAAAAAAAGTTTGAAAGACACAACGAACTGATCAAATGAGTATATCTGCAGCTCCAATTGGATCCACAGACTATCTACAAGTTCCTGTGGAGCTTCTCCTGCACCAAGGGGAAGATCTGGGCGACGGCATCTGCAGCACCTGTCTGGGGATCACAGCAGCAGCAAGAACTGCAGAAGCTCCTTTTGAGACCCCTGGTGGCTCTGCCACCATCCAGTGCTCTTAGCCCAGGATTTTCAGCCCTTGGAAATGGTGACTGTTGGCCAGATCCTGTCCTGGCTCTGTCCTGAAGACCTTACATCTGACGGCTGTTTCTTGGTTTCCCTGCTGGTGGCTTAATTTGGCTGGTGGTGCCTCATTCATGCACCTGCTCACAGGAGCCACGTGTATCCTTGCTCCATGAACTGGAAGGGAGAGGGGAGAGGAAGGGTACTAGAGAATTCTTGAACTTACCTTCTGCTGGAGAAGGTGGGGACACTTGAGCCCTTGAGCTGGACCAGACCTTGGAGCCATCAGCTTTGCTCATGAACACAGGCCATTAACATACGCAGCCATAGGACACGGTCCTCCTTGCCCTTCTTCTGGCCTGCTGCTGTTGGTCCTTGAACTAACATATTTTACTTTTTGCTGAAGCCAGTCAGACCTGGGTTTTCTGCCACTTAAAATATGGGGAAAGAAGTGGGTGAGTGTCTCACCTTGAGGAGGAGCGGGTACTTGCAGATCCTCTGAATCGGAGACAGCAGGTAGCCCTCCAAAGGGATGTCTGTGGTCTTCCGGCCTCCCAGAAGCATGCAGCTCTGCAAAGGGACAGGAGACCTTCATCAAAACTCATCAAGGAAGACACAGGGACACAGCCACCCTCAAATAACCCTGACACTCTCAAAATGTAGCCACAGACAATCACTTTGGGGAAGCAACTTAGCAACCGCTAGGAGAGATGAAAATGTGCATATTCTAAAACTCAGCACAAAGCCTAGATCAGGAGTTGGTTAACTCTGGCCTGTGGGCCAAATCCTGCCCATTCTCTGTTTTGGTAATTAAAGTTTTATTGGAATGTGGCCACATCTTTTGTATACTGCCTACGGCTGCTTTGGAGCTAGACAGGCAGGGTTGTATACGAAGACCACATAGCTGCAACAAGACTACACAGCCATGAATCTAAAATATTTACTATCTGGCCTTTTACAAAAAAGTGTGCCAACTCCTGGTCTAAAGAAACTTTCACACGTACTGTACACACCAGGAGGCAGGAACAAGGACATTCAAAACTGCTTTGCTTAGAAGAGCAAAAAATGGGAAGCAACCTAAATATCATGAACTGGAGAATAAAATATGTTTGTATTTGTGGTGAAATCTGTTTGCAGCAAATTCATACAATGGTTTGTTACACAGCAGTGAAAATGGGAGAATCAGAGCCATACATAGCAAACACGGATGAACCCCAAAAACGCATTCCTGAGCTAAAAAGAAAAACAGAATGAAGGAAATGTACGTTATGAACCCACTTATATAAACTTTTTAAAGACACGGAAAACAAAACAAGGCTTTTTTTTACGGAGAGCATATAAAATATAAAAACATGTGTGGGAAAAAAAATGTACCAAATCCCAACAGGGGTCACCTCTCTGGAAGGGGGTAATGGGATTTGGAAAGTGAACTGGAATCTTCCACCATCACTGAAAATATTTTATTTCATTACCTGAGAGGTGGGACATGAGGCCTGTCATATGAATACCTGTATTTTGGCTTGCAGAGTTCAAAACTGCAGCTCTAGCAGGAATCCCATACAGTCATCATGACTTCCATGCTCACCCCCCAACTCCTGTCCATGCGACCACTTCAATGTTCTCCCACATCAACGCTTCCTTAAGGCCAGCCCTCTTGCCTCTGCTCAGTGTGC